CCCCAAAACCCCAAAACCCCAAAACCCCGCATGTAAGTATTAGTATAAGAATTAAATGGATATTAAATTAAGAATTTATTTATTTTAGGCAATCACTTGAAAATCGGTAGTCACATTAATCAAAGGTTTTTGTTATTATGCTATCAATATTATCATTACTACTTATATTATAACTTTCACATTATTTATTTCAAAGTACTCTGACGCAATATCTCCCGCCTTTCCCTTTTCAGCTAAACGATCTGCGCCTGTACATAGTTAATCAGCTTCTCCCTGATGTCAAGAGTCAGTCCATACTTGATGGCGAACTAAGTCACTATCTTCACCACGTTGTCTCCCTGGTATATACTGAGTCTGGTGATTTCATCGTTGGGTCCATGCTTTACATCCACATGAAGCATGGGTATATCAATAGCTGCAATGATCTCATCCTCATTGGTGCGTTCAGAGATAGACTCATTGATGTTTAGATTCTTTATTGGAGCAATAGGCGATAGATCCTAGTCTAGCCTGCTTGACTTCTTCGAAGCTGATCTAAACTCAATCTTGTTCTAGTTGTTGCTTAGCTACTGCTAGCTTAGGAGATCTATGTTTTTCTAAGATTTTATATATTCCAAACTCTCATCAGACTCCCCACTGACTTCCTCAACCTCACTGTTGTCAAAACAAGCAATGTCATCCAGAGTGTCTTGCATCTTCACACTGTCGAATTTCTGCGAGTTATTGTAAGAATTAGACTGGCGAGATATTATCTCTGGCTTGAAGGTGCAACTCTTGGTCTCATCTTCCAGTTTCTGATTCCTTAACTGCTCTAGCTGCATTTTCTTCAACTAATCCAGATATTTGAAATGCTCATATATACTCACTTTTTACTTCAAAGTTTATTCTGTTGGACTGTTTAACCCATCGTTATTCTAGCCAGCTACATTCTACAATCTTTTAAGTGAATTCTCTCTGCTTCTCTAGCTTAAGTGCAAGGATTTCTATGATAGCTGAGGACTGAATTTCTTTTCTAATTCAATCTGATTGCTCAGTCTCTAAGCCTAGAGGTTCATAGTCATTTTTTTCTATACATGCTTTGCTCTCAGTTGATCCTACCTTAGAATGAAGTACACTCTGTATTTCTTCTTCAATTTTTCAATTGACTCTGCATTTACATTCTTACCGTTACCTACTTACTCAGTCAATATCAGCTAAAGGAAATCCTAGATAGTTTAAATAGAAACTGGCACCACTGACCCTGTTGTTTTGTTTATATCAGCTGACAAACTCTAGTACAGCTCTGAACTCTTGTGTGAACCCTTTTCAATCATGTAGACATGACTCATGATATCCTTGAATTAATCATGATTCAAAGGCTTGTTTAAGTAGTCATCAGTTATCTATCTCTCTGCTCTGTATTTATGAATATCCTCTTTCAACAAATCCAAAAATATTATCTAGCTTTTAAGTTATTGCTCCTTAGTCGGCTGCTGCTACTGCTACTTAATAAGATTATTAGCACTACTCGTGTTGCCATTGGTATTCAATTGGTTTATTAAGGGCTTAGTTGGTGATACTGGATTGGAAGGGAAGTTGTAATTAGATAGTCTTTATCCTGGCACCTGTTTCTCTTTTTAGTTTATCCTTTCCTTCTGACTATTGAATTATGTCCCATAGTTACTCATATTATTAACACTACTGCTCTGATTAATGTTGGAATTAGCAGTGTTAGTAGTAAGAAGATTCTTATTTGAAGTTAGCTTTTTCAATGACTTAGTGTCTTGATTGTTGGGTCTTGGCAGTGGCGCATGACTAGCGTTTACTAAGCTACTCTTTTGCTTTATTTTAGTAAGATTTTTATTGACCATCTCAATATGATTAAGATTAGAGTCATTTGAATAAGCATGCGCGTTGTGACCAGGCTTACTATCTTTAGACTATGGTTGCTTTTTAGTAGAATTGCTTGCACCTTATGTTAGGATTGATTATCTGATGGAGCAATTTGTTGAAATCTGTGAATTTTAAGGCAATAAAGATGGCTATCGTAGTGTTGAACCTTGAATGCTCGAATCTTTCATCTATGATGTATTCTTTCCTACTGATTTAGCAGGACTTGTATCAATCATCTTTTTTGTAGATTCATTGTGAGTCTAATTATTATTGCTATTAAAGCTTTTTCTTGCCAGATTGCTAGTTATAATACCATTTTGCATTGAGCCTACTTCAGGTCCAGTATTCAACAATACTTTATTTTTCTTATCAATGCTCATGGTTAGCTTGATTTGATCCTTGCTTTGGTTTATCTCGAACCTGTCTATGCTTTGATCACTTTTTTACTTTGATATGTAGCTTAGTTGCGATTGCTTGTCATAGTTGTATTTATTTAAGTTATTCTTCTGTGACTTGACTCTCTTCAAAGATTACTGACCCATGGCTATTTCCTGGATCATCTACTGCTGCTATTTCTGCTTTACGAATTCCTCTTTATTTTCAAGATGCTAGTTTTATCTTTTCATAAATGCTTCAAAATCAGCATGAGTCTGATTAGCGGCTCTGAGACCATGCACTGATTTGTTATCACTGATATTCAGACTGTTCTTGGTTAGATTTTTAGTGAAGGTATTATCAAATCTGTTGCTGCCGCTATTGATGTTATGATTGACTGAAGTGATGTTGCTGTTAAAAGCATCGTTGATGTAGTGTTCAGACAACTCTCTAGAGTTAATTATGGCATTTCCATTTTGACTATAAATCTCAAGTTGCTATTTCTTGAGCATCTTTTACTTATGAGCCTCATCCATTCTTTTGTTAAAATTCTCAATTATATTCTGCTTAGTCTTGGGATCTAGATTTTAATCATTAGGCTAGTTGTGATTGCTGTTGGAAGATCCACTTCTTTGCGTCACTTTCTGCCTAGTGATCTATTTATCTAGTTTCTGTGCCTGCTCTAAGGTTATCTCACCCTTGATGAATCTTTTAATGATTTTATCCTGCTACTTCGAGGAATCTTCTTGCTGTTCCCTATTCCCATTGTTAAGCAGCATCTATTGCTAAGACAGAATCATAATCTGATTGTCATGCAAGTCTTTCTTAGAGGAGTTGTCTTTATTTCTGTTGGCTGAGAGTTGCTTATTGCCGTGGAGGGTGGATTTATTCATGATTGTGGAGGGTTCTGTTGCCATACCTTCAGTCCTCAAAACTTAAAAGCCAACCATGTCCTCTCCGTGGATGTTATTGTAATCTTTAAGTGGACTGTGAGTGATCGCAATAGTCGGATCGTGTCGATTGATCAGCATTATATGATTCTAAGATTGTTTACGCGTTGTTCTACCACTATTGCAATGAGAGTCACCAAGAGATCTATCCAGTTGACAGCTAGCTCGGAAATTCATTTATGCTTAAGTAAAATTGTTGTTGCTACTGTAATTATTTTTAATTGTCATATGCTATTATACACACTATCCTCCTAAATTAGAATCAGTTTTCATGCTATCAGACATGCCGTTTCTGTTACTATTTATAAATCCATTTGTGGCTTAGAATGCATTCTGAGCCATTTTAGGTCTGCTCATATATGGGTTCTGGTATATAACCGTGGCATTGTTTGAATTCGCATTTGAGTCAGGTTGTGAGTAACCTCCATTGAATCCACTAGCTGCACTGCTTGGTTGCATGCTACTACCTCCAGAAATGACACTAGCCTTTACTTGTTGATTCATATTCGTACTATTTTTGTTGAATATTTGATTAATTCCACCTATGGAATAGTTAGGATTTAATGGCATATTTAATTTCCTTGGAGTAATTTGATTAACTAATGCTGAGGATGCGCCTTTAATACTGAGTCTGTCCAGGATGCGTTAAGACTTCGCTTGATAAAGAGTCTTCTAAGAGGATTTACCGTTGCTAGACTGAGTATCTAATCTCTTATTGTTGTTGGCTTAGCGAGAGCCAATACTGTTCTTGCCACCGAAGTAAGCATTGGTCTGAAGTATATAAACATATTATAGATAATACCTTCTTGCCAGAGAGTGCTTTGCTGCATCTATCCTCAGATCCTGGGGATTCACTGTAAGTCTACTCAAGAATACCATCGCCTTCAAGATTATTTATATTTTACAGCATTTAGATGTTATGTCCTATGCCGTTTGCAAGCGATCCTCCTCCCCCGTACCAGGCTGTGTTGTATATTTCTTGAAAAGTGTCTTAATCTTCTTAAAACAAAAACTGATTTTGATTGGGATTTGGATTATTCAGTATCATCTGCATATGCTTTGTCTTCGTATCAAAGTTCTATTGAGAACTTGTAAGCTTGTTTGAATTCATGTTCATATACCGGTTTAACTTACTCTAGCTTTTATTCATTGATGATTACTGAGGAGAATTGGATGTAATGAATTTAGGCGAGTAATTGTTTTAGTTGGCAGAGAGCAGTGCATTCGAATTCAGCAAGTACTTATTTTTGTTATGATTGATTCTTGAGTTGCCTTTTTTGCTATTGCTACTCACCTTCCTAGCAGTGAGATTATAAGTAGCATTTTGGTATTAATTCAGTGTATCAAATCTCTCCTGTGTCTCTTTAGTGTGTATCAACCTTGTTTCCAGATTATGCTATAGATTTAGTTAAGTTTGGCTTGTGTATACATTTGATGTTATTTTAGTCTAAACTTACTTTATTTGCAGTTCTTTCCGGGGACGAAAGCATCACCTAATTAATTACATTATTGAATGTTTTAATAAAGGTATTGTCAACTGAGTCGTCTATCTCCTTGTTCTCCTCAGTGACATTGTTGCAAAAGGCCTGACCCTCGTCGATTTCCTGCATATCACAGTCAACTATAGGTTATTAAGTTCTCAGAATTTCATTAAATTTATCTTGACATATTTTGATTAAGTGATCGTTTAAGATATCAATCAGAGTCAAATTTGAGCATAGTTAGAAGTATATTAGCTTGAATTTTGAACTTACCATCAATGCTCTCTTCAGGGTCATTGCCTCCATAGGGTGTCTTAACTATTTGGTAGTTCTGCGGGAGCTCGACAGTTCTATCCATAGAGGAATGGGCACTATCGTCGCATGATTTAACGTTCATTAATTAATTAGTGAAAAGTTTTTAGTTAGTTTGTTTTATACCCTACTTCTTTTATATAATTTATATTTCCCAGATTTAATTATTTAATCCAAACAAATACTCAACTGCCTCCATTTCTTAATTTATTTATCGATGGGGTTTTGGGGTTTTGGGG